TTAAAGAGCTGCAGTAGAAGCAGCTGGAACAGGTGGACCTCTCTCCCCTCCACTCCCTTTCCCCTGTAGGCCTTTGCTAGCAGGCCAAAGTTTTCTAGGGAATGCTGCCAGGGAGGGTGCTGAAACACTGAGACCTCCACCACAACGGGAACAGTAAAGCAAAAGAAAAACCAGCAGCAGTCGGGAGTGAAACCCTTTAAAGGGCTCCACCCCCAGAGAAAAGCCCTCCTTACCTTATCAGTTGTGGGGGTCCCTGGTCTTCCTGCCTCTCTACCCACATAACCTAAAGGGAAGCCAGCCTACTTGTTTACAGGCCCTGCCCACTTAAACAGAACCCACAAGTCTGCCCTCCCATTCCGGAGAGAGGTTTGTAAGGGGAAGCATATCAACACAATTGCAGAGGAAACCTATGCCATCTACCCATATTAACCAACATAGTTTTTCATTCATAAATATGACCAGATAACTAGGGATCACCAGACTTTTCAGGAAAACTGTTAACATTGAAAGCAAAATACTGAAATAAACAAAAGGAATTGACTCCTAGAGAAAAAAAAGAGATGATTCAAAGAATGGAAGAAAATGTAAAACAAATATATTCTGTTCTGTATCACCAGAGAGGCTGTCAAGTGTCTTTCTTCCAGCTTAGAATGTTTTACAACTTCCCCTTCTATCCATGAAAAGAAAATTTAGTAATTTGACAAATATTTACTAATCTCTAACAATGTGTCAGGAGCCAAGGACTCTGAAATGTTTTTTTTAAAGACTTTGTCTCTTTCCTCTGGGAGCTGATGGTAAAGATGTCAGACAATAAGTTGTAATAAGTTCTAAGACACTGAAAAGGAATGGGTGAACTTCACTCTCAGGGGAGTCTACTCTTCCCCTCTAAGGAAGGTGAAGCAGGGGACTCACTAGTGCATGCATGCAGAGGTTCAAACTTTCCCTCTGAGGGTTTGAGTCTATGTCTGCTGATGTGGTATGGTGAATACCTGATATATTAAGCACAGAAGAGGACACTCTGTCAGTTGGAATGGGACCTTTCACTTTGACATTAAGGGATAAGAGAGGAGGGAATCAGCCTGTGCACAGGGAGCAGCATCAACAAACAATGCACATTTATGGAAATAAAACTTGCTCAATATGCTTGATGTTCAAGTTAAGGACAGAAATGTGGGCAGGGGTCAGCTCATCTGTCATACTAAGAATTGAGACCTTATCCTCTAGGCAAGAATCTTCCAGATATATTCAGGAAAAATAGTCTTTGTGAAACCCTTTGTAGAACAACAACAAAAAATACTGACATATTTAACTCTTTCGCATATACTGGAAATCATTCTCCTTGCAGAAACTATGACTGTATTCTATGTTATCTATATAAAATCACAACCACAAATATATTTGCACCCAAAACAAGTTGGTAAATTATAATACATTTAAAATTTTTCCCTTGCTACTTGTTTGCTATAGATTAGTTACTAGCTGCCAGAAAAGCAGTAGTAAAAGAACAACAAAGATTCAAGAAAATTAGAAAGCACTCATTTTGAAAAAGCTATAAATAAATGGAAGAAAGACAAGTAGAATAGAGGAAGGGGAACAGGGAATGATAGGATGGTAGGTAGAGGGAAATACTGGGGACTGAAGTAGAGCATATTATATTCCATGCATCTATGATTATGTTTAAATGAACCCCACTATTATGTACAACTATAATGCACTAATAATTTTTTTAAAAAGGAAAAAAAACTGAAAAATGAGAATACGTATCATTAACTTAATTATTTCTGTGCAATAAGAAAAAGATGGTCAATATTTGATTTTGACAACAGGCACTTTCATGAACTCCATAGATGTCCCCTTTTCATGAAAGCAATGTTTGAGAATCTTTTCTAATGGGTTAGGCAGCTGAAGATTTTTAACTGGGGAAAACTCGATGGCCATCCCACTCTTTGTTGGGGAGAGAGAGGTATGGGGGTGTTGACACAAAGGCCATCTGATACAGAAGCAGATATCAGAAAATGGAGCTTCAGCTTGGGAACTAAGCAGGTAGCCAATTATGGCACCAAACTAGGAGGCTAGGTAGAAGAAGGATGGGAGAAAGAAGAAGCTTCAAGGATTGAAATACAAGCGGTGCATTCTGGAGCTATTATTCATGCTGAACACACCAGGGCACTATATCAATATGCTTCCTTGGGTCTGGGATAGAATCTCAGGAAGTCAAATCAGATTAGTTAATATGATCACTTAAAAGACTTAGAATTAACATTCTGCTGGTGGCATGGAAGATAGATGGGGTGAGGCAGGAAATAAATAAATCAGGATGATACAGTTTCATAAATTACAAAAGAAAGGATATATAGGCCTGGACTAGGATGTTTGCAAGGAGACATGGAGAGAAGTAGTGGTAATCAAGAAGATTTGGGGAGGAAGAAACCATTGAAATTGGGGAATTGTCTGGGTAAGAAAGATGAGGGAATCATAAATGACTCCCAGGTCTCTGGCCTGGGCAATTAGAAGCGTGGTGGAACCTGATTCATCAAGATACGGAGAACTTGAAGGGAGAAGTAGTCTGCGTTGGAAATGAGATAAGTCTGGGGCATCTCAAGTGTAAGGTGGATCTGGAACATCTAAGTAGAGATATTTAGTGGTAGCTAAACTTTCAAGACAGCAGTCTTTAGGATCTCCAAGTGGCCTATTATTTGGGCAATGGAAATATTATTAATCAGGACTTACAAATTCCCAATATTGAAGTAAGAAACAATATTTGAATGTACATAAGGGGAGGACCTTAAATTGGAAGGACTGTCTAAATAGGACATGTCATGGAAAGCCTGTAAAATACTGGTAAAAACAAGACTAATTATTTTACAGTATATACATATATCATCATGGTGTATACTTTAAATATATACAATTTGCATTTCTCAATTACACTTCAATAAATCTGGGGAAGCAAACAAGAAAAAAGTGTATTATGGTATAGATTTCAAGGGTGGTGTGTATTCAGAAGAGTAACAACAGAATAATAGGTCAATAGGATAATAAAGTGGTCACTAAAAATGAATTCTAAAAACTACGCAACTCAAACTATTATTGAGCTAATAATAGTAGGAGCAGTTTCAGTGGTATTTATGGGCAGAAGTCATAGTGAAGAAGGTTGGAGATCACAAAGGAGACCAGAAAGGTTAGACAACAACTCTTTCTTGAAACTGATCACACAAACAAATCCTGACATTGCATCTCTGTGGTCTCTTCAGCATCCTCTTCCTCTGGGCTTGGCTGAACCGATCTTCACAGGGACCTTGCAACTCTGATATTCTGTAATCGTATGAAACTGACTCTGGAGGAGGCCTTGAGCCCATTTTGGCTCTCATATTAATTTTCCTTCAGCAGTACTAAGGTCACTACTCTAAGAACTGAATCCTCTGACTTGACTGATCAAAGTTCATCATGTGCATTGAAGCTACCTACTTGGCAAATGTAGTGAAAAGCTAGCTGCACAGATCAGGGCCCAGGACAGGATGCTGGGGCGTGGGAGGGAAGAAAGCAGGTGCTAATTCCACAGAGAGCATGCCTATCAGAGCAGTTTTTACGTTTTCTATTTGTCTCTCAAAACAATTGTATAGGAATCACCAAAGCAATTTTATCACTTTCTAGACAAGGTTGGGATGTGGGCTAGGGAGTACCGCAACTGCATTTAGTTTGAAGACTTCTAAGATAGCACACAGTAGCCAGTCAGGAACAGATAATCCTACACACCTCAATGATTCAATTTATGGTCACAACTTTAGGTGCCTTTTGGGGGGCAGCACTGGGGATTGAACTCAGGGATGCTCGGCCACTGAGCCACATCCCCAGCCCTATTTTATATTTTATTTAGAGACAGGATCTCACTGAGTTGCTTAGTGCCTTGACATTGCTGAGGCTGGCCCTGAACTTGCAATCCTCCTACCTTAGCCTCCCAAGCCACTGGGATTACAGGCATGAGCCACTTGATGTTTGTTGTTCATATGTTTTTTTAAAACCACTGTAAAGAGTAGGCAATGATTTATAAAGCTCAAATTTTAGGCTAAATAATTGTTTAAAAAATAGGGATGAGAGCTACCTATTGCTGAACATGTTTCAAATCTCTTTTGTGTACATCTTTTTTCTGTCTTCACAACAGCCTATGGGATTAACAAAGCAGGTGCCCTCTTTGGGTCTGAAGAATCTGAGATCTACAGAAGTTTGTGATTTACAAAGTCCATAGCAATTTGTTGGTAGAGCAAGGAATAGAATCCAGGTGTCTCAAGTGCAGCCTATTTTCATTATTCTGAACCATTGTATCATCATTAGCAATTGAGACCTGCAACAGCTAAGCCAAGCTAATATTTCTGCTTTAATTTCTGTCCCAGAGTTTTGGCCTGATTTCCTCAAAGACCCTACTTAGCTCTGCCTTTGGACAAAGATAATATTGTTCTTGCATCACCTTTTTGCCTAAATTTTATTCAGTAATTTTTAGAACTCATTTTTTTTTCTTTACGCCATGTAGTCTTGACTTGCAAAGCTTCTGGGATTTTTATTGAGCTGAAAATGTAAAGAAATAGTCTTGAGAAGAAATCAGCCAGTAGCACACCAGTCACAAAATCAATCCAGACTTTTGTTGACAATTTTTTCTGTCTTCTTATACCAGTTTCCCACTTTATATTAGTAAGATTGAAATTGAAATGAGTCGATTGCTTGTGGATGAATTTGTCACTTTCCTTGAAACTGGTGAACCCAAAAAGTTAGATAGCGATAGGAAAATGCTGCCATTGTCTGTTAAGAAGTCTATGACATCTCAAGGCAAGAATGAATATATGGAAGAAGAAACTTGTTTCTTCTTTACTAACAAAAAGGAAAGCCTGGAAGTGAATGATATGGGTATAATTAAAAAAAAAAAAAAAAAAAAACCTTTACGTAACTTTTTAACTAGGAGAGAAGACTACGAAGCACTTTTTCCAGGAAGTGTGGGTTGCAACGATTGTGCGCTCTTAACTAATCCTGAGTAAGGTGGCCACTTTGACAGTCTTCTCATGCTGCCTCTGCCACCTTTTTGGTCAGAAGATATCATTTCAATTTTAACCCAGCATGATCGAAACGTACAGCCAACCTACTCCCCGATCTGTGGCCACTGGACTGCCTGTCAGCATGAAAATTTTTATGTGTTTACTTACTGTTTTTCTTATCACCCAGATGATTGGATCGGCACTTTTTGCTGTGTATCTTCATAGAAGGTTGGACAAGGTAAGATGAACCATGAGCCTTTATTAACTAATTCAAACTCTTATTGATCTGTGGGTTGCTTGGTTTTAGTTCTAACCAAATGATGGTCGATGGTAGAAAACCAAGCTGATTACTGGCCTTGTGGCATGTTTGTTGTCTATTCAGTCAAGTGTCATGTTCTTACCTCTGATTAAGATCAAATGAGTCCAACCTTGTAAAGAGCTTAGAACAGTTGCCTTGCACATAGTAAGTTCTATGTGGGCATAGCTATAATTATTTGCTAAAGTTTTATTTGAAAAGTAATTTTTTCTGATAGAGACAACTTTTTTCTTTTAAACTTCCATCTAGGGGAGGAGAGAATCAATTTGATCTGAAAAGTCAAAGTGCTGCAGATTAGCACAGACATGGAAAAGTGCTTAAATTGGCAGGGTTTTTTTAAAAGCAAAAATGGTGTTCTCTGAACAATGCTTCAAACACCAGTTGTAGTTGCAAGCTGCTCAGTTTCCCTCTGAGGTGTTTTACCTTCTTAAACAGTTGGGCTTATAGAAACAGAAGAAAAGAGTAAAATTAGCACAAAGTTTTGCATTCTCAGAAAAAAATAACAGGAGTTTTCCTGTTTCCATATATTTGTCCACTTATTGGCTCTATTGATAAAACACCAATCATAGTGTGACTAGGAGAAAATGAATCAATTATCTGGTTGTTCCTAAAAGTCTGGAGGTGGCAACTGTAGCTAGACAGCACCTGGGTGACTGCAGTTTCTCAGGGATCCTTGACTGTCCTCTCTTGGAATGCACATCTAGAATTAAGGTCACAGACTTCTCTATCAGTAAAAGGTGAGGTAGTGAGGGCTGAGGCAATCTACTACAAAACTCAAATTGTAGATTTCACTGCTGAAAAAAAAAAAAAGATGGGTTCTAGGACTGCTTGCTCGTTTGTTTGTATTTGGTCTGGTAGATTCTGTCAATCAAATGCCTGGACATAGGCTTAGCTCTTAAAGGAGAAATACTGACCTGGGTAGACTTAAATGTTCCATAACATTCAGGTGTGTTCTTAGTGACCCCCAAAGCTGCTGGTTAACTTGGGTTTTATTTGTTTGTTTGTTTTCATGCTGAAGATTTGAACCCAGGGACACTTTACCACTGAGCTGCCTCCCCAGTCCTTTTTATTTTTATTTTGAGACAGGTTCTCTCTAAGTTGCCCAGGCTGGCTTCAAACTTGTGATCCTCCTCCCTCAGCCTCCAGAGTGGCTGGGATTATAGGCCCAGCTTTCGATCTTGTTCTGAATCTTAGAAATCTGCTCCTAAAACAAGATAATGCTATAGGATTAGTTGATGACACAAGTGAATTCTATACATTTAATTACTAGAACATTGGAAAACAAAATATCTTGTTAACTTTGGGGATTAAAAACAATTTCTTTAAAAATGCAAATATTTTCTACAAATATTGAAGTTATGAAGGAAGAAAATTGTAATTAGAATCAAAGTAAAATGGACTCACATCATAAATTAACTTCTTTTGAAAGCACCTCTTCATGAACAATAAAATAAAGTGGGTAAATTAGCCCAGCAGGAAACTATTTTATAGACTGATGGGAAATATTACAATTATACAATATTGTAACTATGGTACTTTGAAAAATATACACTTTGTAATGACAGTTCATTAGAATAGCTGTGATTCTACCTACAGTTTCAGATAATATGCTTTCTTAATTGCTGGATTTTGCAGATTTTTAAATGGCAAATACCAAAGGCAATGATCTGACATAATAATTTATAATCTTCCCCACTTATGCTTTCTCAATGTCCTCTTGTTGGTATAATGGAACTGAATGTGGAGGCAGGCATTGTTAGCTGTATTCTTCTAATGAATGACATTTCTCATCTCCTTGTTATTTCAAAACAGATAGAAGATGAAAGGAATCTTCATGAGGATTTTGTATTCATGAAAACGATACAGAGATGCAACAAAGGAGATGGATCTTTATCCTTGCTGAACTGTGAGGAAATCCGAAGTCAATTTGAAGGCTTTGTCAAGGTAATGCACTCAGTTACTGGTAAAAGTCATTTAAAAGTTTTACTATACTTGTTAGGTTGAGAAACTGAAATCTGACAATGTGAAAGTTTGAAGATTTGTTATATCTACACATGCACATATACACATACATATGTAAAAATATATACATACTTGCATGGATAAGAATGTGTGTATGAAAAAAAAGCAAAAATTAAGCCAAAATCCTACATTAAAAAGAAAAGTTGGATGGGCTGGGGTTGTGGCTCAGCAGTAGAGTGCTCACCTAGCATGTGTGAGGCACTGGGTTTGATCCTCAGCATCACATAAAAATAAATAAATAAAATAAAGGTATTGTGTCCAACTATAACTAAAAAAATATTTTTAAAAAGTTAAAAAAAAGGAAAGTTGGTTTCCAGGCACAGTGGCATATGCCTGTAATCCCAGCAGCATGGGAGGCTGAGGCAGGAGGATTGCAAGTTCAAAGTCAGCCTCAGCAATTTTAGTAAGGTGCTAAGCAACTCAGTGAGACCCTCCCTATCTCTAAATAAAATATAAAATAGGGCTGGGGATGTGGCTCAGTGGTCAAGTGCCCCTGAATTCAATCCCTAGTACCGAAAAAAAAAAAGGTGGAAATGGGTACATTCCTGCTTGATTAAAAACAAAAAGGCTCTCTCTGGGAAAAAATATACTTGTGGGCACATTCATGCATCCTCAGTAACTCACACATGTAGATGCCACTGAGAAAAAATGATGAAGAAGTACACCAAGTTCTATTTTTTGCATTTCTGTATCTCCCCACCCAAACCTTGATGTTTTCCCACTGGGCACCATAGTCTGTTCCCCATTTTCCAGGAAAGCAATAACTATTGGCAGCTGCCATGTTGGCAGGTCACAAGTGAATGTTGCTTATACCAGGAGTAGTAGGGATTCCTGACAGATGCAGTCTCTAGTACTTATCCCATGAAGGACTTCCAGGTACTAACAAACATATCTACCTACCTAACAAACATATTTCCATGCCAATCAAACCAGACTTCATAACATACCACTTGCTCACAAAGTCAGTCCAGTAGAGCCAATCATGGCCAGAGGCAGAGAAGGTTTGAAGCCTTTTAACACAAAAGGCTATTAGCCACCCACTAGTGATATGGCCAATAATGGGTACCTAAAATAAGAACTTCTAGAATTTTTATATTACTTTGGTCATCACAGACATAATATCAAATGGCTCTTTTTCCTGAAACAGACCATCAGGAATTCTCTCTGCCCATTTCCCTCTCTGAACACTGAGTCAAGTGCCCTTGGCCTTCAGCTCACTTAGGGGTTATGTCCAGGAGGCAGCACACCACATTGAGGACAGCCCTGTGTCAGGTTGAGTGGATACCTGAATAAATCAACAGGAATTAGTTCTCACATGCAGATAATATGTAATTGAATAAGGGAGTAAGGGACTTCAGAATTTATTCTTGTCCTCCTGTACTGTCACCAATGTATAATTTAACCCAGTAGTGAAAACTCAAAGAGCTTATTCCTGAGTCACCTATGGGGATCAAAATGTGGCTCAAATCTGTAGCTGACTTTCAGATTCTTTACACTAGGTTTTATGGAAATTTTAAAAATAATTTTAGATGGACACAATACCTTATTTTATTTATTTATTTTTTATGTGGTACTGAGGATGGAACCCGGTGCCTCACATGTGCTACGCAACTGCTGTACCAGTGAGCTACAGCCCCAGCCCCTATACTAGGTTTTAAATGAAACTTCCAACCCTTTATCTGTAAGACTAACCAGATTGGGAAATTTGGGGTTTGTCCAGTTCTTGGAGGTTTCTAGCAAAGAGTATTGGGAAGTATTGCAAATTTAAATGTAAATAAAACCACATTTAAAAAATTATTAATTATCCAAATAGCATAATCCAAGTCTATGTGCCTTGAGCTAATGACTTCACCTCTCTGGGCCTCTGTTTTCTGATGTATAACATGAGAAGGCTCAGATTATCTGCAAGGGCACTACCAGCTCTGACAGTCTGTAATAATATGATTAGCCCTCAGTCCCTTCCAATGGCAGTGAGAACAGCTTGTTGGTTTTTCCTTCTCTCTCTTATGGAGAGTTTTACAGTTGAACTGCCAATTCCTCGTGTCCTTATTTCAGATCAGAATTGTAAAACTTCCAAAACCAACTACCGGATAGGTGTAAGGAAAACAGTTGGTTTGATCTCTCTGTTTATACATATATGAAAAAAGTAACAGCTCCAAGTTTTGTATTTTAAAAAGATAGACCTTTTCAGGCAAGTCAACCAGTGACCTCCTCCTTGTTGAGACCCAGGAGGTCCCTTGTCTGAAATGTAGCAGGTATGGAACCCTGATCAAAGCCATCTGACAAAGTCCTTCAACTGCCCAATCCTCCTCCAATGCCTGACCCCTTTTCAAATACCAATTCCCCCAAATTTCTCACTCCAAAAATATTTTGGACTCTTTTTAATCCAACAGTCCAACTACAGAATAACCTCAGATAGGATTTGTGTTTTCTCATCTAATGGTAGCAGGCTTTCTTTCCAGGCTATAATCTGGCTTGTCCAGAGCAACAAGCTTAAATTTTAGGGCTTTGAGTCATAGGGCTTAACAGAGTCTTAGAAATTATCAGATCCGCTGGGCCATAATCCCAGAAATTTAGAGGGCTGATGTGGGAGGATCACAAGTTCCAGGCCAGTCTCAGCAACTTAGCAAAGACCTGTACAAGGCCCTGGGTTCAATCTGTAGCACTGCAAAAAGGAGAAAGGAAGGAAAAAATAAGTCTTTTTCCACTACCCCTACCAAGTGATCACCCCATCTTTATTTTAGCATGCCTACTGACAAGGAACTCATTATCATCTGAGGCAGGTAACCGTGCTGTCACTTTGGGAGGAAAATGGGATTCAGGGCTCAGGGCTAAATGAAGGCATCATTTTGAAAAGAGAAATTTCACATAAAAACTACCTGTCTCGCTCCCTGCTAGAATGTTCTATTCAATGATTATCTGCACATAATCCCTGAGATGCCTTTGAAAGAGTCAAATCATTTTGTTTTCAAGTTAAAGGGCAACCTGTCCATATGTGCCACATAGAGTTCTAATTAAGAGAGAAATAACTATTCCTAGATTTTCTGAAAATCAACTTTAAAAAGTCTTTCTGTTCAAATGATGAGAGAAGGAGAGAGAGAGAGAGAGAGAGAGAGAGAGAGAGAGAGAGAACGAGAGAGAGGCTCTGGGGAGTGTGGCTGGGGAAAGTTCACGAAAAGGCAAGGCGGGGTGCATAAAAGACAAACTTTGCTGACTTCACATTTTCATCTTGGCCAGGTCCTGACACCAATGCAAACATCTAGCCTAAAAGTATCTCAACCTTGATCATCACACTCTAGTTTTTTAAAAGACACTAAATAGTCATTTGTTTACTTGTTATCTCGCAAACATTTTCCTGTTGCCGCATTTTCACGAGGCCCCACTTCAGCTCAAATGGAAAGTTGAAGGCCTGCGGCCCCTGTGAGAGTTTTGAGACTCAGGTTCTCCTTGGGGCTCTGTGACTTACGCCCTCACATCTGGCAACTGAGCTGAGCCCACAGCTAAACAGTTAATAGGAGCAACACAAATTCCTTCTTGGGGAGGGATGCAAAGGGAGGGCTCTGTATGCAATTGATTTCAGAGATGGGAGGAAGCCCAGGACTTTGACTATCAGAAGATGGGAAAATACCATTATCTTCCCACTTGTGTTCCTAATATAGAATAATGGAACAAATCAAGCCAGACCTGCGAATGTGTTTCTACTCTTGGTTTAAGCCTTGGACTCTTTGGGTGACCTCCAATCAGCCAGTTAAGCCCCCCAGGCCTTTTGTTCCAGTCTCTTTAAAATGGCAGAAATGGCCTTGATCATCTTTCAACCAATGTCAATGGCAGTTGTTTTTGGCTTCTTAAGAACCTCTAATATCCCTTCAGTTTGTAGTGAAAATAAATCTGTTAAGTGTTGTATCTGCCTTTGAACAAAGCAGCATTGGGAGATGACCTGTTTTCCTAATAAATACAGATTCAAATAAATTCAAAATAAATACACTCCATATAGGATGACCACTGAGAGAATCTCTTAAGCCCATTGACAAGAATAACAAAATTTAAAATGTCTGAAGGTCTTTTCATATCCTGGAATTTTTGTCTTAAGGTTAAATTTATTATTTATTATCTTTTCCTATGAGATTTCAGGCCAATTTTATCCTAATAGATATACACTATGCTTTATGTTAAAAAATATGCCATTACAAGTTCCCAGGGTAGAATCAGCTCTCCATTCAGCATTATTTGTCAATACCTGTCAAAGCCAGGGAGGTCGGGGTCATAGGGAGGCTCAGTACCACAGCCTCTGGTATAGAGAGAGCACTGGAATGGAGATAATAAGGCCTGGATTTTGTTTCCAGATTCTCCCCTGGGATTTCTGGCCTTGTCAACCCATCTGTCAGAGCCATGGGCTCCCAATTGGTATGATAGAATTAATGACAGCATCTTTGTCTATATGATAATCCTCACCAGAAACAGACTACAAAGTAATGACGGATACCAAATCAATTATATTTCTAAAATCCTGCAGCAGAGTTCCTGTCAAAATAACCTTTTGCAATGATTCTTCTTTTAGGATATAATGTTAAACAAAGAGGAAAAGAAGAAAGAAAGTGTTGAAATGCAAAAAGGTAAGCTGCTTTTTACCAATTTTGATGAACACGTGAAAAGTAAAAGGAAGTTTGAGGCTGATCATATTGAACAACCCAGTGATGAATCAGGAAAGTTTTAGCCCTGGAAATAAAACAGAAATACCATTTACAAATGGGTACTTTCTCTGGTCCCTCTGATTTGGAAAGGCTTGGTGTGTATGTTCCTTTAATGATGACTACTAAATATGAAAAATCCCATTATATTCAATTTCTTAATTCAAAAACCATACAGCCTGGTACCACCTTCAGAGGATGAGATGACAAAAAAGCCATCAATTGGTAAAGGCGGCATCGATCACCCAATGATAACAATTTTTTCATCGGGGACAGTAGCCAGTAGAGCTTCTAGAATCCAAAAATGATAGTGTGACAGCATTCTAATTTTTGTCCTATGCTTGAACTCAGAGTATCCTGAACATCTAGGGTTAGGAAGGGACCATGATGGTTCTCAAATCTAGCACAATCCCCAGAATATAAATCTCTTTTAGTAAAAAATAAAAGGGGACACTATCAGGTCCCTGTTCAAACATGCCTAGGTATGAGGTAGCTTCTACCTCATAAGATGGCCTGGTCTACCTCTGAACAGCTCTAATAATTGTGGTAAGTTTAATATACTACTCAACAGAAGTCTTTCATCCTCTTGAGTTGAATTTAGTTCCAGTAGTTTCCACTCACTGAACCCAGTTCTGCTCTTTGGGGCTAAACTAACCAACTGTCTAGATATGGAAGACAACAAATATGGCCCCTGTACTTTGATTGGGTTTTTTATTTTCTGGTTTAAAATACTCTGTGTCTTCTAGTATTCCTCTGACAACAGTTTCTAGGCTTTTTCCTCTTCTAGTTACCTCCTTTTCTGGAAACACCCACTTTTACCTGTTCCTTTTAGACTATAGCACCCCCAAAGCAGCACAATAATACCTGACATGACTTGAGCAACTGAAGCAGGAGAGAGTATTGCCAGAGAGACTAGTATATAACAAAGTTGGTGACTAAAATGCTATAGCTTGTGCAAATCTAAAACACATGAAGAAATGCATATAAATAGAGACATAGATACTATTTTCTGACACAAAAAGAGTACTCAGAGCCTTAACCATTGGTTGGTATGCTAAAGAGTCATCTGATTCCCATGGAAGTTTCATCCTCAGAATGACTACAAGATAGGTTGAGTGGTACCATGTTGTATGTTAATTACAGTGAAATTTGAGAAAACAGTTCATGTGGATGCTGCCTTGTAGTCTTCAGGAAAATCATAAACTTAACCAAACTGGCCTTTCAGGTCATGCAGTTTGATGTCAACATTTGCAGGGTACCTTCAAAGTGCCCAGCACCACACATATAACTGGAAAAAAAGAAACTTCCAGACAGCCTTTGTACTTTCAAGACCAGCACATCTAATTAAGGAGCAAGGCTTTCTACATGAGAAACAGAGAAAAATCCAATAGTTTAGCCAGTTTCTTGACCAAATCAGACTCAATAAGCATCTTACTAGCAAAGTCTGCAGACACAACTTTGGGACCCACTGAAACCCCCATTGTGTGAGTTGTTCCTAAAAGCAAGATTCAAATTAGGCTTAATGAAGAAAGTATTTTAGCCTCTTTAAGTCTGTGTCAATTGGAATTCAGTATTGAACAACTATTAGGAGAATGAAATCAGTGAAAAATTTCTAGTTTAATTATTGATATTAGAAACCAACTTTTCCTTCAGTGGGAAGAATTTCAGACCACATAATCATTCTTTTTTATAATCTGTTTTAGCATAGTCTCTGTGACACACTTGTAGAAACTGCACCATATAGTCCTATGAGCAGTTTCATATTTTCTTGGCCTGACAGTTTGCTTTTGGTTTCATTTCAGGTGATCAGAATCCACAAATTGCTGTACATGTTGTAAGTGAGGCCAGTAAAACAGCATCTGGTAAGTCCCATAGCATCTGAGCACCAGCCACTCAAGGGGGAAAACTGGGATATAGAAGCAATGCAGCCTAATGATGAGGCTCCCCTCTTCCTCTGGGGCCCAATTTACAAACCTACTCATACACCTCAAATGCTGTCCTTTGTCTTCAAAGTGAGCTCAAATGCACAGATGGGACTTAGAGGGACAAAGGGAGATGGGAAGCAGTCCCCATGTTCTCATTATGTTCTTGCTCAATGGCTGATTCTAAATGATGAATTACTGGGTGGAGGGACCATTATTCTGACAGCATAGAAGAGATGGCATGTAGTGACCTCCTGCCTGGGAGCATCCCTCCTCCTAACCCCTCTTCACTATGTGTAAATGGGCCTCAGGGGGTCTTTTCTGTCTTCTGTCAATCCCTGTATGATTAACCCCAGCCTCACTGGGGCCAACCTCAGGGAAATTAAAGGTAAAATCATTCTGTAAAGATCAATAGGTGCCAAGACGTTAGATTTTCCAATGAAGTAACAACAGACGACATACTGTGATCTTTTCAACTCTGAATGATTTTATTTCCATATATGTTCTGCTATCATTCTAGCCCTTAGATTTTTTCCCAAATCTGTACCTTGCAAAAGCTGATGTTAGAGAATGTGTCGCATCTGATAAATGATGGAAACACGTACGCTAGCATAAAATCCCCCATCTACATAAAGGCAAGAGCATCAGAGCAGTCTTTGAAAATTTCAGCAGATTGCTCTGGAATGGAGTTCTAAAGAGAGAGAGAGAGCACTCACACGTGTGAGCACGCATGTGACAAAAACAGAGACTGAAAGAAAGAGAGGAAGACACTGTCTTATTGCTGAGGCAGCTTGGGCTTCTCAGTGGACCATGTACATACATGGTTATCATGGATCATGGTATGGAAATAAAAGCACCTGATAGAGAGCTTTTGAACAATGGGATTCAAGAACCATGACCACCACTTAGTGGTGAGTGGCGTTAGGCAAGTTCCTTTAACTATGCAGCAGTTTCCTGCCTTACCTACTTGACAGGGTGACTTTGAGTATCAAGTCAGCTAATGTGAAAGAAAGTTATGCTGTCAAATTATGCTATACCACTGAAAGGTGCCACTACTTAGCTTACCTCATTGTGATTTAGATGTCAAAAGAGTGACATAAAGTCCCTAATTAATATCAGTTATTCCTATAATAGTTAATAATTCTATCAGATGTCCCTTTCTCAGAAAATACACTTAATGGAGAACATCACAACTACATTGTAACTACATTGTTATGCCCATGGAAGCCATTCACATGACACCTTCTCTTTTGGATTACATGACAGCAACAGAGAAACCTCTTAAAATCATCTCCTGCTAGTCTTTGCCCACCTATACCTAAATTTTTGCTCTTGGATATATTTCCTGGAATTCAGACTCTCCCCAAAGTCTCATGACTGATATCAGTCCTACAATATCTTAAAGTCTATATCAAGTAGTTCTGCAGGGGGTCAAATGGGAAGACAATAACATCCCTCTCCATCCCAGTCTCCAATTTCTCATTCCTACCCAGTCACACTGCTGTAGACTTGACTTACATCTTTCAGCAAGGACTAAAATAAAGAATTAACAAAGTGAACAAAATGGAATAAAAGATAGAGAACCCGTCCCTTTTTCTGAATGGTCCCAAAGTGAAAACATCATATGGGAAGCATAATTTCCAAAGTTTTTTTGTTGGGGGGGGAACCTAAAAATGTCAGGCATTTTAGTATACCTCTCTCTTACCTGAGGATGAGTCTTTTTTTTAATATTGTTTAGTTTTCAACGGATCTTTATTTTATATGTTTATATGTGGTGCTGAGGATTGAACCCAGTGCCTCATACATGCTAGGCAAGTGCTCTACCACTGAGCCTCAGCCCCTAAGGATGAGTCTTAAAGATAGAGTCTAGTGCCCTGATAGACCTAAGACCACTGAATAGGACTTTTAAAAAAATGCTCAAGGAAGCAAATGCATCAATACTTTCACTTTTCCTCAACCCCCACCCCCTGTTAGCCAATCTAGCTCTCTGTGGGAGCTGAGATTTGAAGTTGGGCACATATACTACTTTGAACCCACTCAACATCTCAGCAGAGAAAATGGCACATGGTTGGTGGGTACTCTGGCTTAGCCACAAGAATACAGGCACTTTCAAGTTGGTGGCACCCACTACAATGGGAGATCAAAATGCACATAGTGAAATGAACACACAGTTTATTTTCATACTTCCTTGCCTAATTTTAGTCCTTGCTGTGGGAGGCAGGTCGGTTTTGCTACATGATCAGCTAGGAAGAAACAGGGGCTTTTCTCTGAGCTAAGGCAGAGCTAGGTAGGGTAACAGCTCTTTGACTTTATGAAATTCAAGGCAAGCAAGGTATCCATGTTAATATTAGCAATGATTTTGTCTGAATAATTTGGTATGCATAATTCATGATGTGGAATTTTGAAATCACTTGCACTTTCTTAAATCCAAGGGAAAATTGGCTTTTAAGAACTAAAAAGACAAGGAAACTCACTGTGAACTGTTACTTTATTTAATCTCCACAAGTTTCTGAAATGTGTTTGTTTTAATATCAGCTCCACATTGCCAATGAGGAACTGAGGCTCAGGGAGATTAAGTGACTTGTCCAAGGTTGAAGAAAGCTAGCACTGAAATCCAGCTCTGACTCTAAAGCCCATGCTAATTTGTTATCCACAATTCCTCCATAACTCTGAGGGCTGGAAGGAGCCTTGAGAATCCATTCCTACACAAAGCTATTTCCAATTAGAATGTGAACCATGTTCTTGCTTGCCCTTAACCAGAATTTTCTCTTTTTTCAGTTCTACAGTGGGCCAAAAAAGGATATTACACCATGAGCAACAACTTGGTAACCCTTGAAAATGGGAAACAGCTGACTGTTAAAAGAGAAGGACTCTATTATGTCTACACCCAAGTTACCTTCTGTTCCAACCGGGAAGCTTTGAGTCAAGCTCCATTTATAGTCAGCCTCTGTCTGAAGTCCTCAAGTGAATCTGAGAGAATCTTACTGAGGGCGGCAACCAGCCACAGTTCCTCCAAACCTTGCGGCCAACAGTCCACTCATTTGGGAGGAGTATTTGAATTGCAATCAGGTGCTTCACTGTTTGTCAACGTGACTGATCCAAGCCAAGTGAGCCATGGGACTGGCTTCACGTCTTTTGGCTTACTCAAACTCTGAACAGTGCAACCTCCTAGGCTGTGGTCAAGCTGACAGTGGCAGTCTTCATAACACAGCAAAGCAGTTGAGACCACCCCCTGTTGAACTGCCTATTTATAACCCTAGGATCCTCCTCATGGAGAAATATTTATTATGCACCCCAAGGCATGTAGGTCTGTAACAAGTGAATTACAGGATGGGCAACACCCTAACAGACCCTGCTCCATAAGAGCTTATATTCTGAAGCAGCAACCCCACTGATGCAGACACCCACAGACTCCCATGAAAAGACGAGGTCATTATGCACAGATAGAAATCTGAGTAAACAGCAGATTATTAGCCAAGTTCAGTTTTGTTTATTTATGTGCGTGTCTTTCAGTGGATAATGTATTTGATTTACTAGTGAAGATGCAGAAGGGAAATGAGGAGCCTCAGCTCACACTCATATGTGGTTGACTCTGGGTCCCTGAGGCCCTGATGAAGGAGGCCAGGTTCTAGAAAGTCTACCATTGTGGAGAACTGAGAAACCCTACCCCACTACCACCCTAACACTCATTCATTCTTTCTCAATCTCCATCCCTCCCTGTCTCTCTCACTTCAACACACACACACACACACATACACATACACACACAGTTAGGCTGTTAGTAATCAGCTGCCTTATTTCTACCCTGTCCGTATCTGCAGCACTGAGATGAGAGGCAGCAGCAGAGAAATCAGCTCCAAGCCTGCCTTCTTCTCATCATGAAATGACTGTATTTAAAGAAAATCTATTTTGTGTCCCTATGGTATCCTTTGTCTCCAGAGTGAATTTGTCATTATCTTGTTATTTATTTTTTGAATAATAAAGATCCCTTAACATTATTGTTATTGTTTAGTACCTAAAACTCACAGCCAGGTTGGGGGAAGAGGAAGGAAGTATTTGGAGGGGATTTTGCCAACCTTTGTACTAATCTCATAAACTTAGTTCTCAAGCTTGGAACATAACAAAATGTCTTGGTGACAACATACTCTCCAAAGTTTGTCATTACCTTCAATTCTTCAATGGATGACAAAGAGGCCTATTCGGTGAAAAGCAATCTGGGTCTTTATCTCCAGTTTGCATGAAAAAGGTTAAAGGAGATTGACATTTAAAAAACTTAATCACAGATAAGCAAAACTGGAGGGAGGGCCTTAAATGAGAAGCAGTAGCCTATCATTTTAACAGCTGTCTAGGTTGTTCCATCTTAGACAAGAGGAAATGGAAACAGGATACCCTGTGGGTTTATTGGCCCCATAGTCTTCCACTGAGTCCAATAAAGTCATTTCTAGTTGCCTCTAATCAGGGAATTGTTCATGTAAGAAAAACAGAGTGGCATCTTCATCTTTACTGATAGAGTGCTTTTTAAGACAAACATCATCTATCCATCTAAAAAACTATTACTGTAGAAATAAGAAAGAGGAAGAAGCAGAAGTATGGCATCCACTCTTGGCCACCACCCCTGCTCTTCAGCCCTGTGGCTAGCACAGCCCTGTCTGGACAGGGTGACTCTGAAGAGCTTGCAGTATGAGTACCCAAAACAAGGCTGATATGCCAGACCAATGTAGGTGGCTTGTATACTTTCTCCAATGGGAGAACTTTGATATGAACAAGGGTGATGTTGATTCGGGAGCTCACTGTATATGGGTCCACAGTGCTTTCTTATCCTCCAGAAGCAAAGATCTTTCTACCCTGTTAACCTTTGCATGGGAGGACTGAAGGAAGTGGGGCAGCTGAGGAGACACTATGATAACCTTACAGGTATGGGTCTTCCTTAGGAAGGCCAGGATTCCAAGACTACCTGAGGGAAGGACCTGGCCCAGTTAAAAGAGAAGGACACAATACACAGGTCCCAGCTCTCTCTTCCTTATAGTAGGTGAGTGCCCACTGTAGTATTGCCAAAATGCATTCTACTGTCATGTATTATTAATTAGAACAAATAAAAATGGCTATAAAATAACCACATTCCACATGACCTATTTCCTCCAGCCACTCCCACCCCACTTACCACCCAATAGTTCAAATTGTTAATCCATTGAATTGAATAATTCACCAATGAGGTTTCAGCTCTCATAATCTAACCATTTAACCTCTGAACATGATTACATGGGATATCATATATGTTTCTAACACTTGAGCTTTTGGGGAAACACTTCATGTCCAAACCATACCAACAGGTTCATCAGAAGGGAATTCATGTCCACGTAGGCACACTTTTTTTTTTATACTTTACACTCATGACCTCTTTTCATTTAAACATCACCCCTGCATTTCACCCTGTTTTCTTCTTCCTTGGGAATCATTAACTTCAAGATTATTTCTACCTGTAGTAACCAAGTTCCTAACAATATCTATTATCAAAAGTAATGTTATTGATACAAAACACTACATTTTCTAGGCTCATTTTCTCCCATGGTTTCTACTGCCCTCTAAATGTCATCTCCTGTAGTATCAACCCAGACCTTTTCCCTAAGCTTCAGTCTCATATAGATAACTGCCTTCAGCCTCTCAGACTATTTCATCAGGAGGACATCTTGATCCCATCCATCACCCTCTTTTCTTTATGTCCTCTGTACTTACCATGAGCCATCTCCCCGGGTTCATGGTTTTAATTACCACTTTCATGCTTCTAATGTAGTACTTTTAGTTTTTACCTAACCTCTTGAATTTGCCTCCATCTCCAAATGGTAGGCCCAAGCCCTTAAACCTAATGCATCCAAATGGAACTCTTGATCTTGCCCTCCACTTGATAGGATCCACTTTCACAGTTGCTCACTCCAGTGAGTGGCATCTTCCTCTACTCTGTCTAATCCAGAAACCTGGCTTAACTATCTCTCAATGTCCTCATTCCCCATGTGCAACTCTGCCTGCTTATACTCATCAACCCTATTTCTTAGTTCTTTTTTTCTCCTGGGGATGGAGATATTCTGGGCACAGCCAACTACCACCAAACTACACCCCTATCTCCTTACTTTTTACTTCTATTTCTTCTGTCACTAGTCCAGCCTAAATTATCATTATTTCTCTTCTGGAATAGTAAAGTAGCCTCCAAGATTTCTTGACCCTTCTCATCCATTCTCCATGCACAGCCATAGTGCTGTTAAACACAGTTATGATTTTACCACTCTCCTGATTCTTATTGACCTAAGAATGAAGACAAAAATAATTAACTTATCATATCTTCTACCATCACCTCTAAGTCTCCAGATGTAAGACCCATTTCATTCCCCAAATGCATGCTGCAGTTTTTTTTTTGTTTCTTTTTTTTCCTTTTTTTTATTGATTGTTCCAAATATTACAGAGCTCTTGATAAATCATCTTTCATACATTTGACTCTATTGGGTTTTGAACTCCCATTTCTACCCCAAATACAGATAGCAGAATCACATCTGTTACATACTCACATTTTTACATAATGGCATATTAGTGACTGTCTTAATCTGCTACCTTTCCTAACCCCTACTATCCCCCCTCCCCTCCCCTCCCACCTTCCCTCTCTGCCTCCTCAGCTGTTGTTCAATTCTCTCCCTTTTGCATGCTGCAGTTAACAAGTACTTCATGGCACTTAATGTGGTTGCGATTTTCCGTACTGTGCTGTGAGATTCTTGAGGACCAAGACCTTGTCCTCTTCACCATGGTAACATCATTGTCTACCACATTGTTCAGCATAGAATTGGCCCCTTTTTGTTTCATGAAGGAATAAATGAGTGAATAAATGCAGCTGCTTTATAACTCAAGAGTCCAGGAAATAGTTCTGTGTGTTAGTTGAAGAAAAATTTACAAAATACTCATTATATCAAAAATATCTAAATAATAAAAATGTGTCTCTGGAGTAGAAGACAATTTAGAACTAGACTGTGGATAAAAATAGATAATTTATATTTGTTATAATTTCATTGTAGTCTGAAAAATAGTACATGATGCTTGCTCCAAACTTCACTTGAACACTTTAGTAGTTGTTCTAATAAATGACAAGAATTTGAGTACATTTCTGACCTACCTATAGTAAGTCATCTAATTTAGTTCCAGTTTTATAAACATGTTACTTACGTATTCCATCTAAAGATGAAGAAGGAATGCTTGAAATTCCTAAAAAATTTTATTTCTAGATAAACAAAAAATTAACAAAGTAAAAATATTACAATGTTTGTTGTTTGATGGGAAACAAATGACTATAAAATGCAAATAGGGTGTGTAGCAAGCTGTCAGTACAGGGCACCCCACTTACAGGAAACAACACATAAACACTTGGGCTTCAGGAGAGAACCCATTTTGAACCATATTTGACTATTTCTACAGAGTCTGATACCACTGTGTTGGTACCTGTGCTATCTTAGGTCTCTCAATAAACCTAAGGCCCTTTGAGACACAGAAACATGGAACTAATTATAATTTTAGTTATGCTCTTTTTTTGTGAACCACATGCCCATTTAAAAAAAACAGAAATATTCATTGTAGTGTGGAGATTAATTCTGGAGCCTAGCAGATATAGTCTTAACCGAGGTTCTGCTATTTACCAACGTTATAACCATATGCAAGTCTTTTTGCCTCCTCTCATCCCTTGTCTCCTCATCTGAAAATTTTGCACATTTTAGCTTTGAGATGATACAGACATACAACCTGAAATTGTAGCTGCATCCATGGGTCCAGAGCTCAAAAGAAAGGTCAGAATGAAAAAAAATGTATGGATGTGGAAGTCATTGCATTTTTATAAATGAAATAATAGGACTACTTCAGGAAGAGGCTAGAGAGTGGAAAAGAATGTTAAGGATCAGCAATATTCAGGGGACAGGCAAAGGATATGGGTACAGCAAAGAAGATAGAGGGGTAACCAGAAAGATTGAATGAAGGGCAAGGAAGTGAAGGATGACAAAAACAAAGGAAAAAGAGCTCTATTGAGAAGGCAGGGTTGAATACTCTAGAGAGGTCAAGATGGGTATTAGCAGGCAATCATCTGAATTTCTCAATTAAGAGCTCATTGTTATATTCCATGCCTTTATAACTATGTCAAAATGAATCCTATCATCACATATAACTTAAAAGAGTCAATAATAAATAAGGCTCATCGTTGACCTTACAAGGGTAGATAGCTAAGATAGAAGCCTTAACAGTTGTCAAGTGCAGAGGAGGAAATGTGGTAGAAAGAGGTAGATAGATGGAGTCCAAGAGGCAGAT